CCCAAATCCCTTCTATCCAGATGTCCAATATCCAGCGGTTGATATTCATTAGGCAATAATTTCACTTCTAATATATAGATACACGCACAATCTTTTCGACAGTTATAGTATTCGGATACGGTGATCGGTGGTCGATATTCATCCAAAAACGATTGCTGAAACAGATGTACGATAATACTTCGTTCGTTGAATCGTTAGCACTGCAATGTAGTGAGTACGGATCAAGTAACAATACTTATTAACAACAACGAGGGAATCAATATGGACTGATACTATTATTAAGAGTGAGCTCACCTCAACGCCAGCCTTCCATAGATCTATGATGCAGTGCATTGTACACCAAGCGAAACTGGTTGCGAATGCAATTGGAATATCTTCATCCAGATTCGCTGTACAACTTATTGGTGGGGTTTCGATTTGAACACTTAAATTAAGCGACAATAAACGTTGAATTATTTCAAATTAGAGTGAATAAAGAATCCCTCATATATTGGCTGTATATACTAAATAAACGCCGAAAACTCAAATACATCACAAACTGATACACTATCAATGTTCAAAGGTCACGTGCATATGAACTGAATAAACCGTGAAAATGAACAAACANAACAGACAAAATCAAATCACATTTATAGAAATAAATGAGTATAATAGAATGTACCCATCTCCACCATTCTCAGTGACGCTCCATCCATTCAGTTTCTTCTCACCGCTCGGATTCTCAATAAGATTGCGTTCGAATGGCTCTTTAAGGCACACCTTCTTCATGTTCAACGCTTTGGCGGAACGGAGCGAGACGGGTGGAAGCTCCATTGAACGGTGTGTCATACAATCGATCCAAAACCCTGGTGCCGACAGAACATCATTCCAACGTCGACACACCTCAAATTTTTGTAATTTGTATTTACGAACGCAATATGCTTGCAGCATTTATCTGTTAGCATTAATTATGATAAACTTATTCCTCTCAAATCATTAACAAGGATCCGCTGGAAATACATTATGACATGTGGCAGTAACGTCATGAATGCTCAGTAATCTGGCCAATCCACATAAGATATACTTCATCTGCCTATCAAATTGCCTCAAAAAACGATCCTCCCATTCGATATTAATTGCACAATGAACATTATTTCGCACTCATTCTTTCTAAACCATAATTCTTTCAGATGCATAAAACTTTCAGTCAAATTCGCCTAAAATCACACCAGTGGACAAACGTATCCAAGCACTACGATATTATCGATTCGTGAAAATATTTCTGCGAGCACTTGCGGTGGAATCAGTTCACCGTTTATCATCACATCTTCATTCTCACCTGAAAATTATAATCAGTCCATTGGGAATCCACAGTTTCATCTAATAAATTCGCAAACAAAATGGCGAATAATTTAGTCTGATGCTTCCTTCACTTGATGTTCACTATTATTTCTGACATTTTTTGTTTATTTTAGTAAGCAGGATCCGATTCTCATTTTGTTCATTCCATCCATAAACAAACTGTGTGTTAAGTGTTTGATTGCAAGAATGAATTTCTTATAAGTTAAAAATAGCAAATCGAATTCTATTTACTGTTATCTTATGCTTCTCCATCAATGAGCAACACATGAAATCAAACAACTGCTGCAGATACAAAGAGTGGAAAACTGTTGAATGTAAAACGTATTCGAAAACAATCAAAGATAAGCGAAGTGAATTGCAAAGAAATCCATTGCACAGTTCAGATTGTCATGCAGACAAAATAAATAATGATTCACTAGAACTACCTCCAGGTCCTGTTGCATCCTTGTCAAAGCCGTTCTTCTGTATCGAACGTGATCTGGCATCTTGGGGAGAGCTATCCGATTTAGCCGCACTGGAATCAGCCTGGAAATTTTCAAATGAACCTCAATTGTTTCGAAGAGGAAAACTAGAAGGGATAGACAAAAATATATGGTTATTACAGAAAATATTTACTGATTCACTGAACTATTGCCGTTAGTACTTACAGAAGAAATATCATTGCTGCAATTATCTCTGTAGAGCAGAAATTTGAGACCGCTGATTCAAGATAGAATACATCGGCTATATGAACTTTAGCTGGTTCGTATAAATCACAGTGCAAAAGCCTTAATCACTTAAGACTGAGAAAGGATAAAGAAAAGATTTTCTTGAGAAAACCGTTTTGAATCGATTTTCACATTGAATCTTTCAGTATCAATTTTCTGTTCACTACATATTCTATTAATTAAATTTAATGGAAACGTAATTTACATGGTTGAATCCTTTATGCATAATCCTACGCAGCAGTTACAAGGCATACACTTCAAGAAGAATTCTTAATCGATGCATTTTCAAGAGATAATTTCCAAGAAAGCGATGAATTAACGAGAAGCTTGAAAGATAAACAAATTTCTGACACACTGACCATTCCCATTTCGAGAATCTCGTTCTGTGCATGAAAAGCGATGATAAAATCACAATCTCTATTCAGCACACGCACTCATTCTAGTATTAAAACGTATGAACGCTTATGTGAATATCGCTGCGCTTAGCGCATGCAATTTTCAGTGCACATCCATTACATATTGTTGTGCTCATTGTCAGTTCGTGAAACTACTCGTATGAAACCACTCTGCTAATTAGTAAAGACCATCGGAAAATTTATTTAAGTCAAATAAGTTCTCGTAAAATGTTGTTTATTTAATAAAATTGGTTGCTTTTATCATTACGCACCAGCAGGCACATAAAAGGTTCTTGTCCAAAAAAACTGATCGCTCAAGCGGTTAGGAAATGAATATGTAGAAAGCGAATGAATGAGAACAGTGATGAGAAAAAATCACTTTGGAAATATTTTACGAAATTACTCCTATCATATAAGACTATAACAGACATGACGATATCACACAATCATAAAGAGTAAAATTTCTCTGAGATGCTCACTTCTTCTGGCGGCTGCCATCTTCCCTCACGATCTGGAAATGGATAACACCGTCCACGTCTTCGTCG